TGCACCACCAGGCCGCGGATCGAATCTGACTTCCGAGCATCATTAAATTACGTAACTTTACGTTCACCGCATCTGAACTTAGGTTTCAGATAGCATAGTTCTGTTCCAAAATTTATCGTTCTTCGACAAATGGCCGTTCGACCGAGGGCTGCGTTCGACCCACGGCCTAGATACGGACGGCTTGAAGTGATGAAGGCTACGTTCGGGAAGGCAGGAATCATGATGGTCCATTACATCCAGGGCAGTTGTGGTCTTCGGCAGGCGACCCAAAAAGAGGACCAAAATTGAGGCATCAGCTGGCCTGAGGGACGGCGGACAACGAAGGCGGCGCATCAGCGTGGCTGAGGACGTCTAAAGCTCCATCACTTCCTAAAGGAGGTGGTTAATGAGGGGTGGACGGGGTAATGAGGTAATGAGGGGATGGTCAACAAGTCGGCCCGTCGTTGTCGATACTTCAATTACCAGTGAATTCAAGTCTTTAAGAAGTCAATACATAATATTACCTGACAATACTAGCGGCTAATATTACTTGCTCCTAGCTTGACATTCTTTAAGCTTCTACTCGACAAGCTCGGGGGGAAATAGTGAAGGTGGCGGTGATACTGAGTTTTAAGAAGCTTTTGATGAACAAAATGCTGAAATTTGACAAACAAGTTAGTGAAATTTTATGAATAAGTTGTTGAAATTGGATGGAAAAATTGGTGAAATTTTATGAATAAGTTGTTGAAATTGGATGGAAAAATTGGTGAAGCCCCCCTCCCTCCGTCGGGGATGGCGGCGCTGGGGAGCGCAGCCATGCACCACCAATTTTGTACACCAATAAGCCCTGAATCGAACGCCTTGGATCTCTCCGCTCATCCACCAATCAGCCGTGCACCACTCGGCTTTGTCCTCCTCCGGCCTCGCATAGAACCTGCCGTGCACCACCAGGCCGCGGATCGAATGTGACTTCCGAGCATCGTTAAATTACGTAATGTTGTGATAGTACTGAATGTGATAGTACTGAGTTTGAAGAAATTTGATCAACAAGTTAGTGAAATTGTTACTGTAGCTGAAGTTTGTGACCAACATAAAGTGTGGGTGAGGGACTGGGTAGGATATTCCAAAAAATCAGTGGTTTATTGTCAAAATAGTGATTTAATTCCTAAACATGGCACCGATACGCCCTTTTGCTGGGCTGAACTGGGTCAGGTTGACCCACATATGGGCAAGAAATGTATCATCACTTGGAGATAGTATAACCTTTAGTCTGCAAGCGCATTCTACTTTTTCAATAAGACTTTAGTCCAATATTTGAAGAGTAAAGTACTACCCGGTAATACTATCGGCATACCACAGCTGTCATTAATACTCTTTACTGGCACATCAAACTTGAAGAAACTTAAACATAACAGCGCATTAATTAAACAAGCGCATTAAGTTTAAACAGCGCATAGAAGTTTTAAACTTAATGCACTTATCAGTAAAAAACAATAAAATAACAGTTAAATACTATTAGCCACTGAAACTATTGGATAAAAATTATCTTATCACAGCACTTCTCTTTAACTTCACTTCTTTTTGTCTGCTACATATCTTATAATTGAAATTCAACACATTTCTACTAATCCTATCGATCTGAGATTTTGCACACTTGCGTAAAGTTGGAGAAAATATTTGAATCAATTAACAAAATAATTAATTTTATAAATTAAATTTTTTCATTTTTAAAAAAATTGAAAAAATTTTGTCTGCTACATATCTTATAATAAATATTTAACAAACTTCTGCTTGTTAAATCGATCTTAAATTTTGCACACCTGCGTAAAGTTGGAGACAATGCATGAATCAATCGACAGAATAAATTATTTTAACAATATAAATTTTACTTTATATATAAAATCAAACATTATTTTTTGTAATATTTGAAAATAAAATCAGAAATTCATTGTGCATGTGTAACATCAAAAACACTGGATTTATTAGAAGTTTTGTCTCTAAAAATAAATTCTTTAAAATGATATTTTTTAAACTAACGAAGGAATAGGGATAACCCTTACACATATCTCTGAACTGCTGAAAATGAAAAAAACTATTTTTTTTTTAAATTATGAAAGGAAAGTTCCAGGTCTTTTCTCATTGAAAAACTAACCGTAAAATAGTTATGAGCCGATGAAACTATAAAAAACTATTTTTTTTAAACTAACGAAGGAAAATTTAAACCTCAAGCTGCAAGAACTATAGAGGAAAATAGACTATATTTTTAAAAATAATTAAGGATAATTTTAAATTTAAGAACAACATTTAAATATTTAAGAGCCACTGTAATTATTAAAAAAAACAATCTTTACCTAAACTAACGAACAAAAATTTAATTTTTGCCATTAATTCTAATAATTATTCTAAAATAATTCTAATAATTAATAATATATAATTAAAAATTAACCATTAAATATCTATTGGCGGCTGAGATAAAAAAAAACATTTTACTTCAAAAGAAAAATTTTAAATTCGAACCTGGGCTTGAAGGACTTGTATGTGGACTTGGTGGGCGGCGGGGGGCGGTGGGGGCGGGGGCTGGGACGCCATGGTTGNTTTTTGACATCAGCACGACACTTCGGGTGTCATTGTCTCCTATTGTCCCCAGATGGAACCATCTCGTTGCAGTAAAACAAGCTCAGGGTTCTCATTGATTTATCATTCAGTTAAATCTATATTCAATGTCTCCCGCCCCCCAATGAGACCCCATAGGTGGGGTCTCACATTATTTCACCTACCCTACATAGGTGGGCCGCGGTGAACAAAAAGGTTGGGGACCACTGCACTACATCACCCAAGTCCCCAGAGCACCCAAGTCCCCACAGCACCCAAGTCCCCACAGCACCCAAATCCCCACAGCACCCAAGTCCCCACAGCACCCAAGTCCCGACATCACCCCAAGTCCCCACATGACCCAAGTCCCCACCTGCAGGGACTGGCGGATGAGGGCTGCCACCCCAAGTCCCCCATCACCCAAGTCCCCCCCAGAGCACCCAAGTCCCCACCTGCAGGGACTGGCGGATGAGGGCGGCCACCTCGCTGTTGCTGGGGTCTGGCTCGCGGCCCACCAGGAAGTGGACGGCGCCGCGCGTGTTCTTGAGGACTGACGCCGCGAAGACTTGCGTCACGCCCACCAGCGACTGCCCGTCCACCTCCACGATCTGGGGGATTATTGGGTGATTATTATCTCAGGGATTAATATATCGCAATAATCTATGGGATTATTGCGATTGCCGAAATAATTATCGATTGCCATTTGGATAAATTATCAAGTGCATCACAAACACTCTAAAAAAACGGCAAAAAAACAGTAAAAAAACGTTAAAAAACGGTAAAAAAAAACAGTAAAAAAACGTTAAAAACGGTCGCAGCGGCATTCTAGTGGCCGGTCACCAGTTGACAATAAACGGTTTATCCGTTTTTTTCTGGATGCTTTACGGGTTTCTAGTGTAAAATTGGGATAAAAACGGTCATATGGTGTCTCTTTTCACGTGTTGGGCCGTTTTTTCACGTCACGGCCTCTCACCTCGTCTGTAGCCCCCGCCTGGTCGTTGACTTGTATGCCCCTGGCCTNCACCCAAGTCCCCACCTGCAGGGACTGGCGGATGAGGGCGGCCACCTCGCTGTTGCTGGGGTCTGGCTCGCGGCCCACCAGGAAGTGGACGGCGCCGCGCGTGTTCTTGAGGACTGACGCCGCGAAGACTTGCGTCACGCCCACCAGCGACTGCCCGTCCACCTCCACGATCTGGGGGATTATTGGGTGATTATTATCTCAGGGATTAATATATCGCAATAATCTATGGGATTATTGCGATTGCCGAAATAATTATCGATTGCCATTTGGATAAATTATCAAGTGCATCACAAACACTCTAAAAAAACGGCAAAAAAACAGTAAAAAAACGTTAAAAAACGGTAAAAAAAAACAGTAAAAAAACGTTAAAAACGGTCGCAGCGGCATTCTAGTGGCCGGTCACCAGTTGACAATAAACGGTTTATCCGTTTTTTTCTGGATGCTTTACGGGTTTCTAGTGTAAAATTGGGATAAAAACGGTCATATGGTGTCTCTTTTCACGTGTTGGGCCGTTTTTTCATGTGTAGCCCCCCGCCTGGTCTGTAGCCCCCCACCTGGTCGTTGACTTGTATGCCCCCCGCCTGGTCTGTAGCCCCCCCAGGCGTGATGGTCTTCACGAAGATGCCGAGTTTCTCCATCCCCGCGTCCGCCCCCACACCCATGCCGATGATGGACAGACCCAGACCTCCAGACCCTGGGGGAGGATAAAGCGTTATTGTACAGGCCAGCAGACCCTGCAGACCAGCAGACAAACCAACAGACCTTTAGACCAACAGTCCAGCAGACCAACAGATCAACAGATCAAAAGACCAGCTAATAAAGTATATGTGTCGTGAAAACAAGAAGTTGTGGGCGGAAGCCGAAGTCTATATAAGGGCTGGTAACCGTAGTAAGACCCTCCAGAAGCTAATAAACGCTCCGCGATGTAACTAGTGTTAGAGTTACTCCGACCTAACGTTAGGTCGACGTCTTAACCTTATACCATTAATATAACGTATGTATAGCACTCCGTAAACCGTACGGAGTGCTATACATATAAATAATATAACGTATGCTATACATAATTTAACGTATGTAACTCATGTAAAGCCACTCCGTATACTGAAATTGACCTATAAAGAACCTTGTATTAAGATAATTTCTCTAGACAGTTGGTGTCTAAATTATTATACTTAAAGCATACGGCATACAAATTTTGACTACAATACAATATATGCTAAACATAAATTTATGAATAAAATACAAAACAATAAATGGCATGTAGTAATATAATGCTATACAATATGAGAAGTTTGATGAAAAGCTTTGCCGTCCACACTGAAAAATTCGCCTATTATTTATGAAGATAATTGTGGGCGCCACCCACCCTCATGGACGCCCCGTGGACGGCACCCACCGCCCGTGGACGGCACCCACCGCCCGTGGACGGCACCCACCCTCATGGCCGCCCCGTGGACGGCACCCACCGCCCCTGGACCTCCCGTGGACGGTACCCACCCTTGTGGACGCCCGTGGACGGCACCCACCGCCCCTGGACGGCCCGTGGACGGCACCCACCCTCATGGACGCCCCGTGGACGGCACCCACCGCCCGTGGACGGCACCCACCGCCCGTGGACGGCACCCACCCTCATGGCCGCCCCGTGGACGGCACCCACCGCCCCTGGACGGCCCGTGGACGGTACCCACCCTTGTGGACGCCCGTGGACGGNTTTTTCTCAATTGCCTTGGCCGGCTAAAATTTATGATAGGGGTACTTCCTAATTAAATTTTAAATTACTGCAAAAAGAAAATAAATCACGGAATTTGTCCGGAAAAAATGACCGTCTGGCAACCCTGCTTAAAAAAAGTACAAAACATGAAATAATTGTACAAGATGAAGCAATCGTAGTCAACGTGTTCAGGCTCTTACTGAGAGCCGCGAGCCCTCATGCAGGCGCGGTTTGATCCCTATGAGATTCCATCACATAAACTTATAGTCATTATTCAATGACTAGTCATTGAATAATGACTAGGTATAATCATTATTGAATGACTATACTTAGTCATTAAATAACATTTTTTAATACTACAGTTTTTTAAAGCCGGCCGTAGCCCCACGATGGATGCTGGCTAAGATATCATATTACGAAGGCAACAAGCTCGAGCGCAGCAACTTGCCGATGTGGGGGCTAAACCCCCACCGATGGGGGCCCCGAACATAAGTACTTATGCTCTATTTTCCTGTCTATGATTGCTGATATTATTATTATTACTAATATCATTGTTATAATATTCAGTAATATCAATATATATCCTTTGCGGGAGGTAGGGCCGGTGTTGGGGGTAGCGCCCACCTGGATGGGGCGGGTGGAGAAGCGGATACGGGTGGGCGGGTGGACGGCTGGACGGGTCACGGGCTCGCCATCGTCGGCCATGGACGCCACCTCGTCGTCGTCGTCCATCTCGTCGTCCTCCGCCAGCCCCGGAACCTCCACCCAGAAGTGCCCGTCCTCCAGGTAGTGAACGCCGTCCATCTCGCCCACCTGGGGGTACATAGAGTCAGTGGACGCCACGTGGACGGCACACCATCTAATGGACGCCACGTGGACGGCACACATGTCTAATGGACGCCACGTGGACGACACACCTGTCTAATGGACGCCACGTGGACGGCACACCTGTCTAATGGACGCCACGTGGACGACATACCCACCTCCTGGACGCCACGTGGACGACACACCCACCTCCTGGACGCCACGTGGACGACACACCACCTCCTGGACGCCACGTGGACGACACACCCACCTCCTGGACGCCACGTGGACGCCACACCCACCTCCTGGACGCCACACCCACCTCCTGGACGCCACGTGGACGCCACACCCACCTCCTGGACGCGCGTGGGGACGATGGCGTCCCCGTCGTCCTCGACCACGAGGATCTTGCGCTGGCGGTCCGCCTCGCCGTCCCTGGCGTCCTGGGCGAGGGACGCGAACCCGCTGCTCCTGTCGCCCACGTCCCCCGCGCGCCGCCCACCGTCGTCCTCGTCGTCCCCGGCGTCTGGACGGGCGAAACAGCACCCAAGTCTCCACAGCACCCAAGTCCCCACAGCACCTAAGTCCCCTACAGCAGTGGTCCCCACCCTATGGTCCACGGCCCGGTACTGGGCCGCGCCGCCTGCTTTAAAATCGAAATATATATTTAAAAAAATCGTCAATTATACAGCCTAAAATGATTATTCAGTTGAAAACCCCTTCATGCTAAGTTGCCACCTATCTACATAATACCTTCGAAGTAAAACAGCATCACATGCACTGCCATTATATGAATGCGGAGTCATTTTTTGTCAAACTGGTCGCTGCTTGACTCCGAAGGCGATCTTAACTTAAATACAACAATTGCCGTAACTTAAATAAGGCCGTAAACAACACTTGCCGTAACTTAAATAAGGCCGTAAACAACAATTGCCGTAACTTAAATAAGGCAAATCGTATTTAAACACGTCATCGATGTTAAATGTCGCCTTCTGCGATTGAAGATAAGAGTCGAGACGTCTATCGACAATTGATATGTACATCACCGTGGTACGCACTGCAGGCCGACGAATCTACAGATATCGACAACAAGGCAATACTACTTGTACTACTATATCTACAATACTACTATATCACTACTACTATAATACAATACTACTACAGGGTGCGGCGCGGGAACTTACTTATTTGAATTGCGCGCCACGTGGCGGCCATTAGTCCTAGGAAGGTGGCGCCATGCGCAATATGGTGCGCCTGTCTCTTATACACATCTAGATGTGTATAAGAGACAGATCCACCAGCTCACACGTTCTTGCATCCAAACAAAAACCAGACCAACACTATATTTTCAGGTGAAAGTCTGTTCAACGGGTATGCCTGAAAATATTTATAGAACAAATATGGAAACTTAAGAAACGCATACAATTAATATATTAGTGATTATTTTCCACCTTTCCAACAAAATATACAAAATTGACACAATATACTATTTGGTCAATAAGTCGGCATGATGCAAGAGTGAAGCAATCGACGCAAAAAATTTTTGAGGAATCCATCTTCTCGTTGGGAATTGCATTTGGAATATAACCCAGATATTGAAACCTTTTCTCTGTATAATTATCATTTACGAAGTCGCATAAGTTAATAATTGAATAAAAACTATTAATATAATGGCAGTGAAGGCAAAGGAACAAGATGAAGCACGGCACAGGTAAGGAGCGACCACAGCCTAGCAAGTGCAAAGAGCCTTGTAACACATAAGCGCCTCGTAGCCACACCCAGCCATGTCGAGCACTGAGGTGTACACATGAAGAACAAGTCTACACTTCAACACGGCGGTGTGCCGTCTGGACGCCCATACTGGTCAATAAATATTTCAATAGTGGATGATATTCTATTTACCCCTCACGCAGTATGGTCGTCTTTAGCTTGAGCGTGTCAGCGCGAGGTGCATTCTGAGTGGCGAATTTTACTCGAGCTGAGTCGCAATCTTCAGCAAGAACATACGGTCAAATTTATCTATAATGGATATATTGCAGCTTATGAAACAAAATGCGATGACTAAAGGTATGAAGATTGTTAAAGCCAAGCCACTTGTGTGTGGCTACATATACATAAAAAATAGAAAGCAACGCTTGTCCATTTTCATGCACCCTCAAGCGCTGTTCATTATCCACGCTCTCATGACTGCATGTTTTCATCGCAATTCAAAAGCAGTTTTGCTACATTTTATTTGCTCATTGATTCCCAGCAATTGTATTGGATTTTATTTTTAGGAATTCACCCGCTATATCCCATCACTCCGAACCTCATGCATGTGAATTGGCAATCAACATCCGTACGTTAATCAGCTTTAAATCTCATTGAGCGACGTGGTATAGTGCCACACCACGACGCTCACGACTATCATATCAAGGCAAGCGCAATTAACTGATATACAATATCTAGACTGCGAATGATGAATGAATCNGGAAGTGAGGAGTAGGGGATCTGGGGTATTATTGGATGATAATTAAGCTGGGGGATTAATATATCGTAATAATCTGGGGGATTATTGGGATTGCCGTTATTATCATCGATCGCCATTTGGCGAATACCCATCGGCACGTGAACGGGGGAGGGGTTGATGCAGCACTTAGCTGGCGGCACCAGGCCACCAGTCGGCTCCACCACGAGAAGGCACCCTGATCTACTGGTCGCACAATTCACACAAACCCTTACCACCCTTCACACAAACAATTCACACAAACCCTGACCACCCTTCACACAAACCCTTACCACCCTTCACACAAACAATTCACACAAACCCTTGCCACCGCATCACTACCCTCAACCTCGTACAGGGAAAGAAACGCTGCACGCTCGCTACCACGATACCATTCAACCCGTCATGCCAGCCGTCATCAAGAGCCAATCCATCAAAACTGTCTGCAACACACTACATACAAGCGCTGCCCGAACCGCTGCTGAGAGGTACCACGCCCCGGTACTGCAAAACTAGACGAATACTTGCCCAACTCGGTCCGGCCACTCCATTGTACTCAACACCTACAAAAACAGGATCGACAATGACATCGGCAAAATTTGTCTACACCACAGTCCATGGAGAAAGCCCGTTTAGTTGGCTTGTTGGTTCCGGGCCCGTCTGAACCAGCCCGACTGACGCGCTCGGCTGGGGCAAGAACAGCAAAAACATTGTCATTTGGCAAAATGAATAGGGGGTACCACACCAGATCCTTGCACTTAAAAAAACGGTAAAAATACGGTAAAAAATAAGGGGCGCACCGGCGTTCTAGTGGGCGTAATCGGTTTAGCATTTTTTTCAGATGTTGAAGGGGTTTCTAGTGTTAAATTAAAAAAAACCGTCATGTGGTGTTTCTTTTCACGTATTGGACTGGTTTTTCACGTCAAGGTCTGTAGCCCCCCGCCTGGTCTGTAGCCCCCCACNAATAAGTTGTTGAAATTGGATGGAAAAATTGGTGAAATTTTATGAATAAGTTGTTGAAATTGGATGGAAAAATTGGTGAAATTTTATGAATAAGTTGTTGAAATTGGATGGAAAAATTGGTGAAATTTTATGAATAAGTTGTTGAAATTGGATGGAAAAATTGGTGAAATTTTATGAATAAGTTGTTGAAATTGGATGGAAAAATTGGTGAAATTTTATGAATAAGTTGTTGAAATTGGATGGAAAAATTGGTGAAATTTTATGAATAAGTTGTTGAAATTGGATGGAAAAATTGGTGAAATTTTATGAATAAGTTGTTGAAATTGGATGGAAAAATTGGTGAAATTTTATGAATAAGTTGTTGAAATTGGATGGAAAAATTGGTGAAATTTTATGAATAAGTTGTTGAAATTGGATGGAAAAATTGGTGAAATTTTATGAATAAGTTGTTGAAATTGGATGGAAAAATTGGTGAAATTTTATGAATAAGTTGTTGAAATTGGATGGAAAAATTGGTGAAATTTTATGAATAAGTTGTTGAAATTGGATGGAAAAATTGGTGAAATTTTATGAATAAGTTGTTGAAATTGGATGGAAAAATTGGTGAAATTTTATGAATAAGTTGTTGAAATTGGATGGAAAAATTGGTGAAATTTTATGAATAAGTTGTTGAAATTGGATGGAAAAATTGGTGAAATTTTATGAATAAGTTGTTGAAATTGGATGGAAAAATTGGTGAAATTTTATGAATAAGTTGTTGAAATTGGATGGAAAAATTGGTGAAATTTTATGAATAAGTTGTTGAAATTGGATGGAAAAATTGGTGAAATTTTATGAATAAGTTGTTGAAATTGGATGGAAAAATTGGTGAAATTTTATGAATAAGTTGTTGAAATTGGATGGAAAAATTGGTGAAATTTTATGAATAAGTTGTTGAAATTGGATGGAAAAATTGGTGAAATTTTATGAATAAGTTGTTGAAATTGGATGGAAAAATTGGTGAAATTTTATGAATAAGTTGTTGAAATTGGATGGAAAAATTGGTGAAATTTTATGAATAAGTTGTTGAAATTGGATGGAAAAATTGGTGAAATTTTATGAATAAGTTGTTGAAATTGGATGGAAAAATTGGTGAAATTTTATGAATAAGTTGTTGAAATTGGATGGAAAAATTGGTGAAATTTTATGAATAAGTTGTTGAAATTGGATGGAAAAATTGGTGAAATTTTATGAATAAGTTGTTGAAATTGGATGGAAAAATTGGTGAAATTTTATGAATAAGTTGTTGAAATTGGATGGAAAAATTGGTGAAATTTTATGAATAAGTTGTTGAAATTGGATGGAAAAATTGGTGAAATTTGATGGAATAGTAATAAGTTGTTACTGTGTCACCGCTTGTTTGCCGCAACCTTTAAACTAATATAACGACCCGGGTCGTTCCGTTTCCGTTTAAACAATCCAGTAACAAGTTCAATTGCACTGGTATCTCTTACATTAAAACTTCGGTTATACGGATAAAACGTGATTTTATTTCAGCAAAGCACAGTTTAAAACAGGTACGGTTAAGACTTAAACTAGAACGCCATTAAGTACATTATTGAGGGGCAGTTTACTAAATATTTCACAGCACAGCCACGATTCCAGCCTTAGAGCAAGGAATGCTGACGCGGAGTGAGTACAGGTATGAATATGGGTCATCCTGACCCACATATGGGCAAGAAATGCATCGCTACCTGGACGAAGTCTAAACTTTTTGCCTGCAAGTAATCAACTGCACTGTCCGGTATTAATATTTTATTACCTTAAAATAATTGAAAATAACCATTGAATATTTATAAGTCACTGAAACTATCGAGAAAAAAACTTTTTCTATTTTTTTAAACTAACAAAAATTTAAACTTCATCCCGCGCCGTAAAAACTATTGGAAAAAAATTAGTTTTTAAAATAAAGAAGGAAAATTTTCAATTTACATTTCGCCACCTGATAGAACAACATTTAAATATTTAAGAGCCGCTGTAATTATAGAAAATTTATTTAAAATAACGAAAAAAAAATTTACATTTAAACCTCGCCCCCCAGGCAGTAGCAGACCTGGGCTTGCAGAATACAAGAAATTCGAACTTCCTATTTTCGAATAAAGTTTACATATCCTCAGGCACGAATTTTCATTATGGGCGGTTATTAAAAAATATTTTAGTCAATTTTCATTATCACAGAATAACAGCAATAAGGACAGCAGCCCTAATATATTTTTTATGCCAGAATTATTAACGAATTTATGATATGATGTAAGCTGCGTTAGTTCCCCATGTAACGCAGCGACCGTTTTCTACGAAGCCTCACAGAAAACGGCAATAATTTTAGCGGGAACTGCAATACACGAAGAAAGTTGCTGTGCATCCAAACTCACCGCTGAGATAACAAGTTCTTTATTTGGAACGCCAGATTAGCTTGTTGTTGTTGTTGCTGCTGTTGTTGCCCATTCACCAACAACAATTCCTGCAAAGGCAATAGGAGGTTAAAAGAGAACGTAAACAGAAAGTTTCGCGTGGCGGCGAAATTGTGGACCTCCTAACAGGAAAATTGTGCAAAAGCCACCTGTGAAATGGACAATTTTACCCATCCCCGTGGCATTTCCCTATTTTCTTTGTTGGAAAATAGGAAAAACTGATTAACTTTTCCAGCAGGTTTTTAAAATCACCCGTGAAACAATTTTTTTTCACTTGCCATTTTTGGAAACTTAGGCCCAATATTCCAAATTGGACAGACTCTCCTTTTGTGGACGGCAGACTCTCACCTCGTGTGGACGGCAGACTCTCACCTCGTGTGGACGGCAGACTCTCACCTCGTGTGGACGGCAAAAATAACTTTCATCTATAAAATAACAACTACAATAATAATAATATATACTGTAGGCGCCACTTTCCATTTCTCTGGAACATTTCTTTTTCCATTAGTCTACTAGACGTAGGGTAGTTTATTTCTAATGCGTAGTTTATTACTAGACGTAGTTTATTTCTTGATTCAGTGTTAGACCCTAGATGCCTGTATAGTACCCGAGGAACGCAAGCTATTCGGTCAGTTAGATTTGTTTATTACTTGAATTATTGACTATACCGATTCATATTTATTGATTAGTATTGGTTCATACATTGTCATTTCTTGTATATATCATGAATCATTCTTTGTATATTTGTCTTATGTATTTTCTTGTTATTTTCTTTCTAGGAACCGTACATCATGGAACGCTCGTCTTTTACCCTGCCATGATGGCGCGTCTTGGAATAGTTCAGCAAACGTTCCCAAAGGACTGGCCAACAAGAAAGTCCTTAAAATATACAATAATTATTTAAACATTTGCATTATTTAACCGATAATTAAAATGCTGTACAACAAGCCTCACCCTGACGTAGCTGTTGCTGTTGCAGGGGGCGTTGCGAGGGCTCCTGTTGGGGGGCGTTCAAAGGCGCCTGTTGCCTCTGTTGCTGTTGTTGTTGTTGTTGTAGCTGTGGTTGGTGTTGTTGTTGTTGCTGCTGCTGTTGTTGCTGTTGTTTGACGGGGGACTTGGGTGGACTGCCAGCACTGTCCCCCAGACCCCGATCCTGTTGGGGGAGGAAGCTTAACTTGTTGTATTTATTGTAGGCCTATGAGAGACTACAACAAATTTTTTAGGCTGGTAATTAGACTTTTCGGAAATTAAGTCAAATTTAGACACTGAAGCTCAATGTTGTACACTCGGAAATACGAATGGGTCATTCTGTCCAGTTATTTGATAAATGCGAACTTATGATGTTCCGACCTTTAGATCCCTGGACCCGATCTATGGATCCATATATTGTTACGTTATCATTATCATTGCCGTTATCATTGTCTTATCATTTATCATTATCATTTATTATTACCATTTATCATTATCGTTTTCATTTATCATTATCAATGTCATTATCACTTATCATTGTCTTTATTATTTATCATTCTCATACATCATTTTTATTATTATCGCTATCATTTATAATTATCTCTATCGTTATCATTATCAGATGAGGTTAAACGTGACAAAGTTGTCTTATTTTTCTGAGTATCGCGCGCTTATGTCGCCGCTACACTCAGGCAATGCGTGGGTCACGTGGTCCACATACCGACACNGCTAATGTCGCCGCTACACTCAGGCAACGCATGGGTCACGTGGTCCACATACCGACACACTTCCTCGCCCATACCAGACCAGGGAGCGCACGTAGCACTGATACCGGGTCAAAATGACCCATAAAAGAGCTAAAAAAGCATCGAAATTTGGACAAAGTCCGGCTTATTTTTTTGAAGTCTCACCTGGGGCGGGCGGTGGACGGTGGACGGCAGGCTGCGGTTGGCCAGACCGCCCCTCGTCCCCAGGTCCGCCTTGGCCCGTCCCGCGGACACGTCCAGCAGAGCATGCGGCGCCGTCCATCCGTCCAGCCCGTCCATCACGTCCTCCTTGTCCACCTGATGGACGTCGTCCATCTGGCCGCCGTCCAGACCACCGTCTAGACTGCCGTTAAGGCTGCCGTCCACGCTGGCGTCCACAGCGTCCAAGATCTCTGTGTCGGAGAGACAGACGTCGTCCACGACGGCAGCGGTGGACGACAATGGAACTGAGGGCGCCATGTCAGGGGCGGTGGATGACGAAGGGGCGATGGATGACGGGGTGGACGACGAAGGGGCGGTGTATGAGGGGGCGGTGGATGAAGGGGTGGACGACACAGGTAAGTTGGACGACGACGGGGTGGTGGCCAAGGGGGCGGAGGACGACAAGGGGGCGGTGGATGAAGGGGCGGTGGACGAGGGCGCCGTGGACGACAAGGTGGGCGATGCCCCCAGGGCAACGAGTTGACCTTCTAGACGCTGCACCTGCAGGGGACGACAGCGTCAGGCGGGACATACCGACACGAGGACGGATTATAATGTCCCATTATAACCCGTCATGTCCCATTATAAGATTTTATGTCCCGCTGTCTACAATTATGACCCGACATGTCCCATTGTAGTACCTAGTCTAACATGCAACATGTCGCCGCCGTCTTGTTCTCTAGCGCAAGACTAACAGGTGCCCACAAACTGTTACCTGCCTCGTTTAGTCTCATAATATCGGGGTCATAATGATAGCCCTTGGTCATTATTCAGGTCGTACAAATTGTAGCGTATGGGAAATATGACACGTTGACCCCACACACACGCTGAGTGCGGTTTAGATGTCGGAAAAAGTCCTAGGTTGCCTGATGGCATAAAAACGACCAAATCCGCGGACAAAAAGGCATATAATTCAATATATACTAGTAAATCTGTAAGTTACTGTGCAAAAATCAAATTTAACGTTGCTGGAGCAGCACTCAACCCATTCAACTATGATGAACGAATTTAAATAAATTGAAATTAATTAAAATACATTTAAATATAATGTATTATATTTCGTTATATCTGAAATTTGAGCCGGCGCTGTTAACTCACTTATGACTCACTTATCCCAGCAGGTGGGTCACCAGCACCACCACCCACCTGCAGTGTTAGGACATGCAGGGCGGCCTCCCTGTCCTGCAGGAGGCCAATATGGTGGGCCTCACACCCCCAGCACCCACCTGCAGTGTGAGGACATGCAGGGCGGCCTCTCTGTCCTGCAGGAGGCCAATATGGTGGGCCTCACGCCTCAGGAAGTCCTGCTCGCGGCCCTGGTACTCCTTGATGATTTTCTTAGCCTTGTAGTACTTCTTCTCTAGTACATTGTACTGCGCCTGTACAGGCAGTGAGTTACAGTAAATGTAGTACTTCTTCTCTAGTACATTCTACTGCCCTCTACAGCAATATCATCGTTATTATTTAATTAGTCTCTCTCAATATTTAATTTAGCCTGGGGAGATATTGAATAACGTGCAAAAAAATATTGATCAATAAACAAAAATTTAATTTTTTTGCTCGTATCCTACAACGTAACGGTCTTTGTTAACCACTGAGAGAAATATAGCGGTCAATACCATCACTCAAGCTCAAGGCATGTCCACCAATACAAAGAGTGAAGAAAACAAAGCAAAGTTCAAGTTATTCTATCAGAATAACGCAATTGCAGGTAAGAAATATCACTTATTATTAGAGGGTAGATCTTTAATGTACTCTTACGCATCGTATTGTCATGAACATGTTATTGGGAGGGCAAGGACATTTTTGTGAGGACACTTGTGAGGACACTTGCGACACTTGTGAGGATACTTTTGACACTTGTGAGGACACTTTTGAGGAGACTTGGGAGGATACTTTTGAGGACAAAAAAAAAAAAAACTGCCCACCCTATACTACAACTTGGCCCACTTGGCCCGCCGTATGTAGCGCAGTGAACCCACCACCACCACGACCCCCAATGCACCGCCTTGTTCACTATTAAGCAGCTACCAGACAATAACCCAATCGAGCAACAGGCGATAACCGATAACTATCAAGGCCAATAACACTGATCTTAACATCATGAATGTCTACATCCCACCCCAATCCTCCTGCCCACCGAACTTCAGAGCCTCTATCTCCCATCTCTTAGTGCCAAACTCATTGATACTTGGCGATCTGAACGCACACGACCCTCTCTGGCACTCGCGCATCCAGGACACACGTGGAGAGGAGCTGGCGGATGAGATCGGCAGTTCCGATCCGCTGAACTTGGACACACCAACCCGGTTTCCAGCCGCAGGACATCCCTCCTCGCCAGAACTTTCATTCGCCTCAGATACCCTGATCACACATACCCCCGGACCACCCACATGGATAAGATACCGGGATCACCCACAGATACCGGGATCACCCCTNCACTCTTCTCACTACAGACATCATCTACGGTCTAAACCAAAAGAGGCCCGCCCACCGAACCATCATTGCCGCACTGGACCTCACTAAGGCCTTCGACACCGTCAACCACCGGATACTGATCGACGACCTTCTCGCCTCCCCACTACCCGGATCTATCACCCGCTGGATCTCCAACTACCTACACGGCCGTTCTGCCTCAACGGAATTCCGGCATCAAAACTCTAAACACCGATTAATCCACACAGGTGTTCCACAGGGCTCTGTCCTGTCTCCTGCCCTCTTCAATTACTATGTCTCCAAGGCACCCCAACCACCACCCAACATCAAGATTATCTCCTACGCTGACGATTTCACAATCTACAGCACTGGTCCCGACGCCGACATTCTCACTCAGCAACTCAACGACTACCTCCCCCAACTCTGCAACTTTTTCACTATACGCAACCTGGAAATTTCTGCCAGCAAATCAACAGTCACCCTCATTACACCGCACACGGCCCAGTACAATCACCACCCTCAAGTCAAGATCAACAATCAACTACTTCCGCTAGAACACAACCCAAAAATCCTTGGCTTAACCTTCGACACCATGCACACCTTTACCGCCCACCACAGAACCACGGCAGCAAAAGCCTCAAAACGCAACAACATACTGAAAGCCTCTCAGGCACTTCCTTTGAACAAGACAAGGAAACCCTACTACAAACATACAAAGCCATCGGCCGCCCAATAATTGAGTACGCCAGCCCAGCCTGGTCTCCTGTCACCTCTCCCACCAGCATCACCTGCCTCCAAACAGTTTAAAACTCTGCTCTGAGAACCATAACCGGTTGCCACAACACAACTGCCGAACATCTTCACTCCGAATGTCAAATGATAATAATAATAATAATAATATGCTGTTGAACGAAACTGTTCAACAGCATACGGACCTCCTCTCAGCCCAGTACCTTCTGCGGAGTCACCTCCCACAACACGCCTGCCACCAAATCACAAGACCGCACCCCCAACCCCGCAACATTAGACATACTCTTTTCACCAAATACATAAACGCCGTTCAACCTTCACTTCCAGCCACTATTAACAGTGCCACCCTCAAAGCAGCTAGCAGCACTCTCCACTCCAACGCTGCCATAGACTCGTACCACCCAGTTCTGCTCAACGGCTGGCCTCCTCCGCTCCCAACAATAGATAAATCTGAACAAACACTTCAAAGATCCACAAAATGAACGCTAGCACAGCTTCGCTCCGGCCACTGCATACTCCTGAACACCTACAAAAGCAGAATTCATAACAACATCAATAACCTGTGTAACTACTGCCACCTCTCCCCGGATGATGTGCCCCACCTCTTCGAATGCCCTAACAACCCAACGCCCCTCAGCACCATAGACCTTTAGAGGGACCCAGCTGCGGTCGTGCGCTGGCTCCTGCCACGGCTGGACCAGTGACCCAGGGAT